GGGGTCCCAGGAGGGGGCAGTCAGGGGACAAGGAGCGGGGGGGGGGGTTGGGAGTTCTGGGGGCAGGGCTGTCAGGGGGCAGGGGTGGGGAGAGGGATCGGAGCAGTCAGGGGACAGGGAGCAGAGGGGTTTAGATGGGTCGGGAGTTCTGGGGGGGGCTGTCAGGGGGTGGGGAGTGGTTGGATGGGGCGTGGGAGTCCCAGGGGTCTGTCTGGGGGTGGGGGTGTGGATAAGGGTTGGGGCAATCAGGGTACAGGTAGGGGGTAGGGTCCTAGGGGGCCAGTTAGGATGGGGGGAGGGTCTCAGGAGGGGGCAGTCAGGGGACAAGAGGCAGGGAGGCTTAGGTAGGGGGTGGAGTCCTGGGGGGCAGTTAGGGGCAGGGGTCCCAGGAGGGGGCAGTCAGGGGACAAGGGACGGGGGGAGGGTTGTGGGTTCTGAGGGGGGCGGGAAGTGGGAGGGGCAGGGGCGGGGCTAGGGCGGGGCTCCTCCCATCCTCTTTTTTGCTTGCTGAAATATGGTAACCCTACCACTGCACATGTGGGCAGTGCCTGAGGAGACCCTGATCGGGAGCCTGGCCTGGGCAGTGCCCACAGCAGCAGGCATGGGAGAATCTGCCCCATCAGGTCTCTGGTCTCCACCAGCGAGGGGACAGCTACATCCCCGCTCCTCCCCCAGCTCTTTACCTCTGGCTACCTGACCTGCCCACCCGCCGGAGAGCCATATTTTGAGGCCCCACGTAGGCCCAGCATGGGCCAGCAAGGACACGGACCTGCCTGGGTCAGCGACGTCAGGAGTGGTGTCTGCTGGCACTGAGCTCTAACCCCCGGGCCGCGTTCTGACCCCTGGGCCATGCTCTCCCCACGCTGGTCTCTGACCCCTGGGGACGGGCTCTGCCTGGGCCACGCTCTCCCCTCCCTTGCACAGCAATGGGAATGCCAAGTGGTAGGAGACGCCGAGACCCTTGTTGTGCAGCCAAGGAAGCTCAGCTGGAGGCCAAGTGCTCAGCGAGTGCTGCTCTGTGCCAGTCACGCTGGCTGGCAGGGCTCTGCCCACTGCCACCTGACACAGCACAGCCAGCGCAGGTGGCAGGCTGTTGGGAAAGGGCAAGCCACACGTAATGGGTCTAAACTTCCAAAGCCCCATATGCCATGGGGGGCATGTAACACCGTGTGCGGACCGGCCACTAACCCTGGCTCCGTCAGCCATGCGCCCAGGGTGCCCGGTGGGGGGCAGGGTCCAGCCAGGGCGGGAGCTGGCATGAAGAGGAGAGAAGAGCTCTTTCCTGGACTTGGAGCAGCTGGGAGCCACACAGGGCCATTCTGCGGTCACTTGCCATAGCCACCTAGCTCCTGGGCGCTCCCCAGTGGGCGTGGCATGGGCACAGGCAATGCACTAGCCCCACACACAGCCCACCCCGCACTCACTACGTCCGACTTGGTGGTGAATTTCTGGATCTGCAGGCTCTCGAGCGCCATCCACTTGACGGGCAGTTTGGCCTGGCGGTGCTGCCGGATACTGTAATACTCCCTATCAAAGACGTCCCGGGCCAGGCCGAAATCCGCCACCTTCACCATGAACGTCTGGTCCAACCTGCAAGGCACAGATGGGGCTGGAGGGAGGGTGGGAGGAGGACCAGCCTGGTCCCCACCGCTCCGGGGAATGCCAGCTGAGCTGGTGGCACTGCTCCGGGAGCCTGGCATTCGGAGCCGCTTATCTCCAGCTCCCAGACATCTGGACCCAAAGCCATGGGCGGGCACTCAGGGGCCACTGGCACACAGGCTGGCAGGTCTCAGTGCAGCTCCCAGGGCCACGTGTCCACCCTCCCAGCTGGCAGAGTAACTGTTCCTGGGCCACGAACCCCATCCTCATAATAGCAGGGTTCCTTCTGAGGCGGTTTGACTAACACTCACCCTGCTGCTGCCCAGGCTCAGCCAGCACAGAGCGGGCATGCCAGGTCCCAGTACCCACCAGCCCCAGGCTGAGCCGGCACTGAAGGGACATGCCAGGCCCTGGTACCTACCAGCCCCAGGCTCAGCCGGCACTGAGGGGGCAGTGTCAGGCCCTGGTACCCACCAGCCCCAGGCTCCACTGGCACAGAAGGGGCAGTGCAGGCCCCGGTATTCACCAGCTCTGGGCTCAGCTGGCACAGACAGGGCTTCCCAGGCCCTGGTACCCACCAGACCCAGGCTCAGCCAGAACAGAGGGGGCACTGCCAGACCCAAGTACCCACCAGAACAAGGCTAAGCGAGCACAGAGGGAGCAGTGCCAGGCCCTGGTACCCTCCAGCCCCAGGCTCAGCTGGCACAGAGGGTGTGTTCCAGGCCCAGTTACCCATCAGCCCTAGGCTCAGTTGGCATAGAGGGGGCGTGCCAGGCCCTGGTACCCACCAGCCCTGGTCTGAGCTGGCACAGAGGGGACAGTGCCAGAGCCTTGTATCAACCAGTCCCAGGCTCAGCCAGCACAAAGGGGACATGCCAGGCCCCTGGTACCCACCACCCTGGGCTCAGCCAGCACAGAGGGGGCAGTGCCAGGCCCCAGTACCACCAGCCCCAGGCTCAGCCAGCACAGAGGGGACAGTGCCATGCCATGGTACCCACTAGCCCCAGGCTCAGCTGGCACAGAGGTGGCATGCCAGGCCCCATAGCCCTCCATCCCCATCAGCCAGGCCCGGGCTCGCCAGCGGCACTCAGAGGAATGGGTGCCATGGCCTGGGCTCCCGAGGCCAGTGTGCCTGGACAGAGCGTCCCGTTGGGAAGCGACTTGCAGTAAAGAGGATGCTTAGGAGTGTGCCCGTGAGTGCTCCAGGCTAGTGACGCATCCCCAGCATCCCGCAGCCGGGCACACAGGCCCCGGACACCCACCCACCACACTCACATGCAGTTCCTGGCGGCCAGGTCCCTGTGCACAAATTTCATGTGGGCCAGATAGTCCATGCCCTGCGCCACCTGCAGCCCGAAGCCTATCAGGTCCTTCACCGTCGGGTTCTGGGGAGACAGGAGCAGGGAGACATGCAGCCCCGTCCCTCGTGCCTGGGCACAGCACAGCCCCTACCTGGCACTGCAATGGCTGGAGCCCTGCGACCACCAGCTCCCCCAGCCACCCTGCATCTGGAGCTGGGAGACTGGGGCAGAGCGCCGGGCAGGGCAATGTCCACAGCTGGCTGTCGGGAGACCTGGCTAGAACGCTGCTTGGAGGGTCTCCATGGCAACCCCTACAGGACACAGGTGTGGGGCACAGGAGCATGGCCCTCTGCTGAGCCTGCCCCTGGCCATGGCTGGGGGCTGGCATGCGGCAGTGAGCTGCCCGGGCAGAGTTGAGTAGGGGACTCAGGAAGGGAATAGCTGGGGGCTGCAGGGCGGCATGGTGGGGCCGTGGCAGAGCACTGGGCTGGAGGGCAGCATGGAGGGGCAGTGGGCAGAGCTGGGGGGTTGGAGGGCAGCGCGGTGGGGCAGTGGCAGAGCGGGGGAGAGGGGAATAGCTGAGGGTGGGGAGACTGGAGTATGGTGTGGATGGGCAGCAGTAGAGCTGGGGGGCTTCAGGGGAATAGCTGGGGGGTTGGAGGGTGGTGTGGAGGGGCAGTCGCAAAGCAGAGGGGCTGGAGGGCAGCGCAAAGGGGCAGTGGCAGAGCTGGGGGAGGAGAATGCAGGGCACCCTGTGCTAGCCAGGTGAGCCCCTCACCTTCCCAGCGCAAAGCAGCCCTGCTGGCCAGCGAGCCTGGAGAGAACAGCATGAGGACAAGGGCGGGGCTCCTGGCCTCCTGGGGGCAGGGGGACTTGGTGGCTGGCTGGTGGGAGGGGCATATGGGCTCTGCTGGGTGTCCATCAGCCCTCATCTCACCTTCCTGCCCATTCGGCAGGCAGCACAAGCCCCCGCCCCAGACCCAGGCACCCCCTGCCCCACTGGGACCCTGTGATACAGAACGCCCCCTGCAGCAGCTTCAGCCTAGCTGACAGGTCTGGCAGCTCCTGGAAACCCAATGGCCGTGGTGCTGCCTGGCCGCATCTGCTGGCCCCCGCGCCCAGGGCAGGGCCGGGCCGGAGAGCACAGGCTGGCTAGGCAGGTAGCTGCATGGGGCCTGGCTCTGGGGGCAGGGGGTGTGATGTTATTAATATGAACTGGGACCGTATAGATCATTGTTGCCACCACTGTTATATATTTGCAGCAAATATTGTACAAAGGTTGTTGTGTGAGGTGTCTATGAAGAGGTTATAATTTGCTGGTTATTTGTATATGTGTATCATTTTTGTATTTGAAGTTATGAATATGGGCTATGTACTTGTATCTCAAATGTATTTGATTCCAAGTAGACTCAGTGAAGCATTTGGTCAGCTTCTTGAGAAGGGACTATTCTCAGTAAGTGCCCAATCAAGAAACACTTAACTGACAATGGACTTTGAGAGATGCCAATTTCAAACTAACATGTAAACAATGGCATTGGCCTGCAAACTGAATCATGCATGGACATGTGACTTGCCCATGTAACTCCAGATTCCATCTTGCTGCTGTGATTTTCCACAGTAAAAACAAAGGAGTGTCCTTCCACGGGCAGAGAATATAAAAGGCCCTGAAAACTCCTCCATCTGGTCTTCAATCCTGCTTCTTGCCTATGGAGGAACCTTGCTGCAAACTGAAGCTCTGAACAAAGGACTGAATGACCCATCCCAGCTGTGGATGTATTCCAGAGACTTGATTTGAACCTGCAGTTTATTCCATCACTGCTGCAAGCCTGAACCAAGAACTTTGCCATTAGTGTATGTAATTAATTCCATTTAACCAATTTTAGCTCTCATCTATATCTTTTTCCTTTTATGAATAAACCTTTAGATTTTAGATTCTAAAGGATTGGCAACAGCATGATTTGTAGGTAAGATCCGATTTGTATATTCACCTGGGTCTGGGGCTTGGTCCTTTGGGATCGGGAGAACCTTTTTTCTTTTACTGGAGTATTGGTTTTCATAACCATTCGTCCCCTTAACAAGTGGCACTGGTGGTGATACAGGGAAACTGGAGTGTCTAGGGGTATTGCTTGTATGACTTATGGTTAGCCAGTGGGGTAAAACCAAAGTCCTCTCTGTCTGTCTGGTTTGGTGTGTCTTAAAGGTGGAAAAACCCAGAGGTGAAAGTAACTTAAAGGACTTACCGGTACGCCGGAGTCCTGAGCGGGCCGGGGACTCAACCGAAAGAGGCATGGCCTCAATGGGAAGAGGTGGGGCCTTTCAAGAGCCTGGGGCTCCGGCTGTGGCTGGGAGCCCCAGGGCCTTTAAATCACCCCGGAGCTACCAGCTGCAGAGGCGGCTGGGAGCCCCGGGGCGAATTAAAGGGCCCGGGGCTCCGGCCACCGCAGAGCTCCAGGCCCTTTAAATCACCGCGGGAGCCCTGCCACCGCTACCCCGGGCGACAGGGCTCGGGCTAGGGCTGGGGTAGCGGCAGCAGGGCTCCGGTGGTGATTTAAAGGGCCCGGGGCTCCAGCCGCTGCGGGGAGCCCCAGGCCCTTTAAATCTCGGCCGAAGCCCGGTTCCCGGGGGCCCAGGGCTCCGGCAGCCGGGCTTGGGCTGGGATTTAAAGGGCCCAGGGCTCCCCGCAGGGGCTGGAGCTCCGTGACCTTTAAATCCCCACCCAAGCCCAGCAGCTGGAGCTCCAGCGGTGATTTTAAAAGCCCGGGGCTCTCCGCAGCGGCTGGAGCCCTGGGCCCTTTAAATCACCCACGGAGAAGATGGTCCAGTCCGGACTGTACCGGCTTACTTTCACCTCTGGAAAAACCTCAGCCTTGGGCTGTAACTGCCCTGCTCTAAGCAATTTGTCCTGAATTGGTACTCTCAGAAGTGTCCCACCAAGGGCAGCATTGTTACAGGAGGTTACCCGTTCTCCTCTGCCCCCAGCCAGGGTGACCCTGCCTTTGCCTGGCCCTTGAGCAGGGAGGGTGGCTGTCCGGTGCTTACCCGTTCCTTGGAGCGGATGAAGTGCCGGAGGTCTCCATGCTTCATGTAGGGCAGCACGACCAGGGGCAATCCCTGGCGCGGCAGGCAGACACCCACCAGCGACAGGACGTGGGGGTGATGGAAGCTCTTCATGAGAATCCCCTCCTTCAGGAACTCCTCCACCTCCTCCACGTCGGTGATCCCTGGGACCAAGCACAGCCATGAGGCTGGGGCACCAACCAGCCCGGGAGCTGCATCACAGGGACAGGCCCCAGGGGATGGGGCGACTTGGGCTGTCCGGAGCCCAGCAAGGAGCAGCAGAGGGCACGGGAGAGCGGTGGCTACATCACAGAGGGGTTACGCCCATGCCATGGGACACCACGCCCAGCCACCAGCCAGGCACAGCAGGGGCCGGGCACACACACGCTTCCTGGCCCCCGGCATTGGCAGCTGCACAGGGGGAAGGCCTGAAAATGCCCAGGAGTCAGGCATAGCCCAGATAGGTGGGGTTCCTGCTCTATTCACCTCCTGCTCCTTGGCCCACAGCCTGGCACGAATGAAGGGCCAACGCAGGAAGCAGGCGGGGCTTGGAGGGACCCCGGGGGGATAGGGATTGGGGACCCCCTAGAGCACGGCAGAGGCAACCCCTGTGGGAGAGCAGGCCAGGAGCCAGAGGGAGGGGCACTCACGGTTCAGGGATTTGACGGCGCAGTGGATCTCCCTCTCTGACAGATCTCTGTACATGCCGTGGTACACGCTCCCGAAATGCCCTGGCCGGGAAAACACAGGCACCCTGGACAGAGCCGCCATGCAGCAAGGAACGCCCCGAGCTGCCCTTTGCTCCAGCCCCCAGCCAGCCTGCCACAGGCAGGACAAACACCTAGAGTCCAAGGGGATGGGCTGGAAGATGGCAGGGGGGCTGGGAGGGTGTCAATGCTGCAGGGCCCAGATGGGCACCAGATACAGCAGGGGGGCTGGGGCTGCATTACTGTGGAGAGGCACCCACACGTACTGGATACGGCCAAGGGGACGTGGCCATGTTGGCGCCACAGGGCCCAGATGGGCACCAGATACAGCCAAGGGGACGGGGCCATGTCAGTGCCACAGGGCCCAGATGGGCACCAGATACAGCCAAGGGGACGGGGCCATGTCAGTGCCACAGGGCCCAGATGGGCACCAGATACAGCCAAGGGGACAGGGCCATGTCGGTGCCGCAGGGCCCAGATGGGCACCAGATATGGCCAAGGGGACAGGGCCATGTCAGCGTCGCAAGACCCAGACCAGCACCAGATACGGCTAAGGGGCCGGGGCCATGTCGGCGCCATTGGGCCTGGACGGGAACCGGATATGGCTGAGGGGATGGGGCCATGTTGGCATTGCAGGGCCCAGACAGGCACCAGATACGGCCTTGCCCTGCTGTGGGGCCTCCAGGCCGGCCTGATGGGCTCCCCCACAGGGCTGTTCTGCGCTGGGCCGGGTACTGCCCCTCATCGGGTTCAGAGAGGTGACCTAGCTGGGCAACAGCCACCAGCCGCAGGCATGCACCTGGCACTCCGGGGAACGGGCTGATCTTGGCACAACCAAACTATGCCATGCTGCTCAGCCCGAGCCCTCAAGCCGTGGGCAGGGACCGGTCCCTCCGATCAGGGGAGCAGCCGGGGCCAGGCAGCGAGACTGTGGCGGGTGTGGAATCCCGCCCCCGTGCCCAACCCTGCATGCCATGCCACAGATGAACACCATCCGTGCTGGATCAGCACCACATGGGGGCTCTTGTTAGTACTGAGCTTCTCTGGGGTGGGACCTTGACACAGAGGGAATGTCAGGTGGGCCCAGCCCGACCCAGCTACGGCTCAGCACTCATTGTGCCAATCTGCATGTGCCATGTAGGCCCAGCCCAGCCGCGGTTCAGCGCTCACTGTGCCAGTCTGCATGTGCCACACAGGTCCAGCCCAGCCCAGCGCTCACTGTGCAAGGCTGCATGCGCCACATGGGCCCAGCCCGACCCAGCTATGGCTCAGTATTCCTTGTGCCAGTCGGTATGTGCCACACAGGTCCAGCTTAACCCAACTACAGCTCGGCACTCACAGTGCCAGGCTGCGGGTGCCACGCAGGCCCAGCCCAACCCAACTACGGCTCAGCGCTCCTGTGCCAGGCTGCAGATGCCATGAGGGCTCGACCCAGCCGCAGTTCAGCGCTCACTGTGCCACGCTGCCGTGCCAGGCGGGCCCTAACCCTAACCTTTGCCGATGACCCGGTCCCAGTGTGTTAGCAGCCGTTCCTCTGGGATCAGGATGTCCTTCACCTCCTCCAGCAGCTCGGGACGGAGGTTTTTGACGCAACAGGACGGCATCCTCACAAGTGGCACGGCAGAGCTGTCGCTACTGCCCATGTAGGAGGCATCTCGGAAGCGCCTGCTGGCAAAGCCACCGCTGGGAGTGACTGCTGGGGGCAGCACTGCCAGGAACCAGGCAGAGAGAGGAAAGTCACAGCGAGACCCTGGCAAAACCCTTCCCCTCCACTGGATCAGCCTGTGTGCCCTGCTGCCTGCCCCCCACTGGGGCAGAGAGAGGAACTGCCCCTCAGAACATCCCCAGGGTCTCCCGATCAATGCACACCAGCCCCGTGAGGGCCCCCAGGCATTGCAGTGCTGGGAGCTTGTGGGCGGGGGTCCCACGGCTGGCGAGCACCAGTCGACAGGAGCTGCACACAGCCACGGCCGAGACCCGTCCACTGGGGCAGAATAGAAGGGAGCCGACTGACATGCTGGTGCGGCTCTAACACGGGCAGGGCTGCCCCAAGCTGGGCAGGCCTTTCCCGGCTGGTGTGGGTCGGGGGGAGGGAAGGGGTGTCTGCTGCAAGGACGGTGACTCGGCCCTGCCCCCACAGGCTGCAGGCACAGTGAGCAGTGCCCCCTGGCATGACAGTTCCTTACCCTGCACATCCCGGTAGTCCATGAAGGAGGGGAGCAGGGCAAAGCTGGGGGCATTCCCATTGGGATTCACCAGCATCTCCAAATTCTCGGTCCCTGAGGACATGGAACAAGAAGCCATTCAGAGTCCCAAGAGCCAACGTTGGCCTAGTGGCCTGGCCCATTTCTGCTGGGTACCAGATATCCCACTGGCCACAGGCATCGCTCAGCCCCCCTGCCACACTGAGAGGACGGGAGGCCCAGCCCCACTAAGGGTATGTCTACACTACAGGATTAATCCGAATTTAGATAATTCGAATTTGGGAAACAGGTTGTATAAATTCGATTGTGCGCGGCCACACTAAGCACCTTAATTCGGTTTTAAACCACATTAATTCGGTGGTGTGCGGCCACACTACCCCATTAACTTAAATACAGTAATTCGGTGGTGTGCGTCCACACTAACCCTAATTCGAATTAACAAAATCGATTTAGGCTCTACTCCGTTCGTCGAGGTGGAGTACAGAAATCGATTTAAAGGGCCCTTTAATTCGAATTAACTGGCTCTGTAGTGTGGACGGGTGAAGGGTTAATTCGGATTAAGGCAGCTAAATCCGAATTAAAGTCCTAGTGTAGACCAGGCCTCAGAGTCAGCACCCTAAGGACTGGCGCAGCATCAGTAACGATGTGTGTGGGGGGAGGGCAATTTCTTGGTGCCTAGATAGCAGGATGATGTGCGCATTGCTTGTAATGCCAGAAGACACTCCCCCATGGTCATGGGGCACAGTCCAATTCACCCAGGTAAGGCATATGACACCCAGCTGGGGGCCCAGAACAGGAGCGGACGCTGCCAGAGCAGAGAGCATGTGACACAACATTCAGTGCCTGTGGGAATGGGGCCATGGCAGGCTCAGGGGTGCAACACCCCCTCTGTGGGAAGGGAATTACCCATCTCCTTCCTGCGTCTGCATTTCACCACCAGGAACACCAGGAGGCAGCCGAACACGAAGATGGTGATGATGCCCAGGAGGATGCCCGTCAGGGGGTCTGGGGAGACAGTGGCCACCACCGAACCCAGGTGCTGGCACGCGCCATTCACACAGATCTGGGGAAGGACAGGGCAGGCAGTCAGTGCCTGGGCAGCCAGCAGGCAGAGAATGGGTCCCTAAGCCATCTGCAGGATTAGGGGGACTTGCCCACCCCCGGCGCTGATCACCACCCCAGCTCTTATCTAGCACTTTCACCCAGCAATCTCAGTGTGCTGTCAAGGTTAGTGGAAACCGGGGCACGGCCGTGACTTGCCCAGGTCTCCTGAGTCCCAGCCCAGTGCTCTATGCGCCGTGCCACTCTGCCTCTCTGAAGCATTAACACACTGTACTCCTGCAGCTGGCGCTCCTGCCCAGATTCTCCAGAGGGGGTGGGGCTGGCATGAAGGGAGCTCCACTCCACACAGGTCTCCTGGGTACTGAGGGATTCAGTGCCCAGGGTTGGTGGGACGACAGAGGGCCCAGAAGCAAGCAGCACATGTGGCACATGGCCAGCCCCGACCCACACTCCCCTGGCAGGATGGGCATCGTTGCCTAATGGACCAGAGGACATTTCCCATCGTTTGGCCCATGGGGCTACACCCTTTTGTTACTGGGCTGCTCTGAGCATGCATGCCAGCTACCCCAGCCCCCGCGCTCTGTCCCGTCCCAGCCCTGCCTGGCAGCACTCTTGCAAAGCCTGGCACCTACTCGTTTCAGCAGTGAGCACTGGGTGAGGCAGGTTGGGCAAGACATGGGCATCAAAGATGCCACCCCAGCACGTGCCATGTTGTAGAGACACCAGAGGAAGGAGACTGACAGGGTCACCACGTGGGCTCAGCCGGCATGGACCCCCCGGCCACCCCTTTGCACCCAGGGCAGACAACAAGCAGCTGGCACAGCCTGTGGCTGCATGCTGGGCTGTACGCTGCTTCCCCTGCCCTCCTCACTGTGTGCCAGGCAGCAGAACCAGGAGAGACGCCCAGCAGCTGGCTGGCAGTGGGGAAGCCGTTCCCCACAGGCCTGGTGCCCTCCAGAGGCTGGGAAAGCCTTCCCCAGGCAGCTGCACTCAGGACATGTTCAGTCCCGAGCACTGTCCAAAGAGGAAGGGCAGGGAGAGGGGGTGGAAGGCTGTGGGCCAGACCCTCCAGGGCAGAGGGCCAGTCTAGGCAGTGCTGCCACAGCCCTGAGCCAGCCTGGGTCTCCCTGGGCTCCATGCCAGCCAGGGGAAAGGGGGGCGAAACCCTGGGAGCCCAGCTCAGGGCGAGCGCTGTCCTCCCTCCAGCTCGGCTCTACCTGCACAGGGACTCCATCCAGGGGGAGGCTAAGGTTCCTGGGGATCCGGCAGGTCACCTCATTCTTCAGCACGCTGGGGTGGCAGTCCTGGCCCGCCACAGTCACGGTGATGCTCATGCAGCCCACCAGCGCATCCAACCCGATTTGCTGCACACACAGCCACCGTCATGGGGATCCCTCGACCCTAGCTAGAGAACTCCCCCACCTGAGCCGCCCCACCTCCCCAAGGAACGCCCTGGCCTCTCCCTGGAACCCCACCCCCACCTGAGCCACCCCACCTCTCCAAGGTTGCCCGCCCCCCGGCCTGAGCTGCCCCCGCTCCCCCAGGAACCACCCCGCCTCCCCCAGGAACCACCCCACCTCCCTGGGGAACCCCGCAGCCTCTCCCAGGAACCGTCCTGCCTGAGACCCCGGGAACCCCCAGGCCCACCCCTCCCCAGGGGACCGCACCACCCCAGCCTCAGCTCCAGCTGCCAAGCCTCTCGCCTGGGCTCCCATCCCTTCGCCCTAACCAGTGCACCATCCTTCAGGGCCAGACATTCATCCCCCTGCAGGCCCTCAGCCTGCTGGCCATGGCCCCAGGCCCTCCCCCACCAGCCATCGGCCCGGCCTCGGGCCCTCCCCCTCCCCCTCCCTCCCACTGGCTATCCCTCCATGCCCTGGGCCCTCCCCTATCCCATCCCCACCAGCCATCATCCCATGGCACTCTTCTGGCCCCCAGCCCACCAATGCAGGCCTGGCCTGGCCCCCTCAGTGCCACTCCTGCCTGGGCCCCCTGCCTCCCCCAGCCCCCTCCGTACGTGGATCTCGATCTCGTCGTCACCAGACTTGAGGTGGTACGTGTTGTCGCGCTCAAAGGGCAGGATCTGAGGCGTGGGGTAGTAGCGCAGGTGGAAAGCCCTGCGCCCGGGGGAGCCGTCCAGCAGCACGGTCAGGTTGCCATGGGCGCTCTCCACCCTGTTAGCGAAGGGGTAGGCTGGGCTCTGGCACACCAGCTGCTCGGGAGAGCGCGGCCCCGCGCACACCTGAGGGGACAAGGTGCGTTGGAAGGAGCGTACCCGGGAGCAGAGCTCACAGTGGGGAGGGGACCCGGTGCTCCCTGGACATGGCCCGGAACCGGTTCCCAGGCACCCCATCAGGCCCAGGCCCGCACCGCCCTTCGCTCTGCTGGCTGCATGCTACGGTCCCGGCCCAGGCCTCTCGCCACCCCCCCTACCCTGCCACAGGCACACTACGTCTGCAGGGAGCCCGAGGCTGCAGCACCAACTTAACGCGCCCGCCTTGGATAACTGGAGACCAGAGCCACCAGTGACACGAGTGTGTGAGCTCTCAGCTGCCTCCTGGCAAACGCACAACCTCCTATGACTGGCACGGCCTGGGCCCAAGACTTCAGACTGGGACAGCAGGGCCTGTGGGCCGGCACTGAGCAGAGCCCAGGGCTGGGCTAGCATGGCTTGCATGTTGGGATTGGGGGGCACTGGCAGAGCTGGGCGGACACAGGGCAGGGCTAGCAGGGGTTGAGCGGCAGGACTGAGGGGAACTGGCAGAGCTGGGGAGGAGCCCAGGGCTGGGCTAGCAGGGCTTGTGGGGTGGGATTGGGGGGGAAATGGCAGAGCTCAGGGTGGCCCAGGGCTGGGCTAGCAGGGGCTGAGGGGCAGGATTGGGGGGCACTGGCAGACCGGGTGGAATCTCCTACAGCGCCTGCCTGCACCAGGCCCGACCAGCGTTTCAAGCCCGTTTTTCTCTCCCCCTTCAGCACATCATGCCCAGCTCCCTGACTGTGATCCCCTTGCCTCAGCCGGCCCTGGCCCACGATGCCGGCCCTGCCCCGCCCCTCACACTCACCTTGGCCTCCGTTGCCATGCTGGCGTCCACAAACTGGATTCTGGGGTAATACACGGAGTCCAGGCTGGTGCCATGGATGGTGAGGGCCGAACCCCTGCAGAAGGTCACAGATCACTGCCATATGGAACGTGAAGCACAGCCCTGAGCCTGGGACCTCAGGGCCAGGGGAGACCCGGCCAGGGCACACTGGGGGCCTACAAGCTTGGGGGAGCCCCTCGCCAGAGCATGCTGGGGACCCCGGGGCCGGCAGAACCCTGGACGGATGCACTAGGGACCTACGGGCCGGACCAGCTTCCAGTGTTGGGTGTGCTGGGGACCATGGGGCTAGGGGAACCCCGTACGGGATGCCCTGGGGACCCAGGGGAACCCCATCTGGGGTATGCTGGCTAGATACGCTGCCTGGGCCTCTGGTGCGCACAAGGGGAGCTGTGCCCCCTGTTCCTAACCCCCCATGCTGTGAACTCCCACGTGTCATGGGCTTGCAGGAGGAGGCTGGGGCTGCCCATGGAATCAGGGGGCTGCCCCATCCCCAGCCTGGAGGGGGGACACCTGGGCTCTCAGGAGGGGGCCCTCAGCTGGGTGAAATGGGCCAGGCTGCTGGGCACAGAGTGCTAGGCTCTTCACCGTCCCCTGCAGGGAGGAGGCCATGCAAGCTGGGGGTGGGGGAGGGAGGTTGTGATCCGGGGAGGTTGGAGAGTAGGGTTGGAGTGTGTGGGGGGGTGACATTATTGACATGAACTATGACCGTATAGATCATTGTTGCAATCACAGTTACATATTTGCAGTAAATATTGTACAAAGGTTGTCAAGTGAGGTGTCTATGAAAAGGTTATGATTTGCTGGTAATGATTATGCTATCTGTATGCATATATCATTTTTGTATTTAAAGTTATAAGTATTGGCTCTATACTGTCTGTA